GGAAACATGTGCTCCTCCTTCCCCCATGCTCAGAACACTCACCATTGGATACAGAGAGGTGGATGGGGTCACTGACAGGAGCTCCCCGTGTTTGGCATCGATACACCCCTGGAGTCTGCACCTCAATACTCTTCTTATGAGAAGGCAGAAGTAGGTGGCCCAAATACCAGAGAGTGTTGATAGGCCGGAGCTCCAGAAGCAGAGGGTGATATCCATCACACCGCAAGGTTACCCGCTCTCCCTTGAAGATTGTGGTCCAAGGTGGGTGTAGAGACAATGTGGGCTTCTCCAGAGTAGCTGGGGGGGCATGGAAGGGGTCAATGTGGAAAAAGAATCAAGGTGCTCAAAGATGTAATATGAGGTTCATGGGGTTGAGAAATCTTAGAAAACCCCAGCTTCCAGCTCCTAATTCATCTCCGCAGGAGGAGAGAACACATTTTTGTAGCTACAAACTATCTGTCCAAATTTAGTTATAGAGATAGAGGAAGAGTAGAAAGAGCCACTACAAAAAGTGGGGAGTCTACCCAAGCAGGTCACTCAGGGGAATGGGAGTAGGAGATGTAGAAGATTGGGATGAGGAACGTGTAGGACTCACCAGCTTGCCCTCTGCTTGGAACTGCAAAACAAGAAAGACAGAAAAAGAAAATGCTGGGCTTGGCACCCGTGTACAGTGGTTACAGCACCAGCCATGTGCAATGAGGCTGGCACATTTGAGCCTGCTCAGGCCAGCTAAACAACAATGACAATTACAACAAGAAAACAGCTGGGCACTGTGGCAGGCGCCTGTGGTCCCAGCTACTTGGGAGGCTAAGGCAAGAGAATTGCTTAAGCCCAAGAGTTTAAAGTTGCTGTGAGCTGTGACGCTATAGCACTCTACCGAGGGTGACATAGTGTGACTCTGTCTCAACAAAAAAGAGAGAGAGAGAGAGAATGCTGGAGATGTGAGGAAAGGCAGGGACTCCAGACCACAGGAAACACTGAATGCTTTCTTCTTCTTCCCCTAGTTTCGCCAGCTCTGAAAAAGCCCCCTCTTCTTACCCCTTCAAAAATAGATAATGAGGCTCACACCTGTAATCCTAGCACTCTGGGAGGCCAAGGTGAGTGGATCGCCTGAGCTCAGGAGTTTGAGACCAGCCTAAGCAAGACTGAGGCCCTGTCTCTATAAAGAAATGGAAAAACTGGTTCGGCACCTGTAGCTCAGCAGCTAGGGCGCCAGCCGCATATAAGGGAGCTGGCGGGTTCAAACCCAGCTGGGCCTGTCAAACAACAATGACAACTACAACCAAGAAATACCCAGGTGTTGTGGCAGGTGCCTGTAGTCCCAGCTACTTCGGAGGCTGAGGCAAGAGAATTGCTTAATTGTCAAGAGTTTGAGGTTGCTGTGAGCTGTGACACCATGGCACTCTACCGAGGGGGACATAGTGAAACTCTGTCTCCAAAAACAAACAAACAAAAAATAGAAAAACTAGCCAGTGTGTGGCAGGTGCCTGTAGTCCCAGCTAGTTGGGAGGCTGAGGCAAGAGGATCACTTGAGCCCAGGAGTTTGAGGTTGCTGTGAGCTTTGTGCCAGGACACTCTAGCCAGGGTGACAGAGTGATACTCTGTCTCAAAAAAAAAAAAAAAAAAATTAGATAATGAACCACGGGGGAGAAGAGGATTGACTGCCCACCCCCATACCCGGTACCCTGCCCCACCTTACTCTCCACCACCCATAGTCCTTCTCCTGCTGCTGCCTTATTGAGGACTTACCCAGGAGCAGGAGGGCTGTCAGTGCCCACATGATGGATCTGACTGCAGCAGCTACAGAAGGATGGAGATGTGCTGGCATGGGACAGGGAAGAGAGAGAAAGAGGTGGCTAGTGGCTGACCAGGGAGTGCTAGGAGACACTGCTGCTTCTCCCACCCATTCCTAGCTCCTACAGATGGTGGACTGGAGAGAGGGGGATCCAGTCTGAATATGTGTCAACCCTCAGGTACCCCAACAGCCAGGCACTGTCCCATCCACCACCTCTATAGCCAGCTCACAGCTTAGGCCAGCCCTCACTCTTACAGTGAAGGTGGCACAGCTCATGCTCTGTGCAGCGTGACGAAGCCTCATAGAGCCTCAGGCTCCTGCAGGTGACTCTTCTACCTTCATACTCCTATGGGCATCCCACCCTATCCCACTCCCTCCCCACCTTCCTGCCAGCCCTGCATGTCTCTACCAAGGAAGACACATTCTCATGTCCTCAGGGTTCACTCAGGTCCTTTTTTTCTGCTCAGTGCCATGACAGACATTGACATGAGGCCTAGAGAGGTCAACATTGGGTTGCCTGCACCCAGAGCTCACATCTTCCCACAATGAGTAAACAGAAAGGCGTGACTCACCAACTACTTTGGCGTGGGCCTGGTGTCCAGTTCCCCAGTCAAGGATAGAAATGTAACACGTTTCCCCTTTTTCCTCCCTTCCTGAAACCTTAAATTCTCAGAAATTTGAAAACTCTTCTCTCCTCCCCACCCCAAGGATCTCACCCTCTGACCCCTCTATTCCCTTGTTCCTTTATTCCTTCCTCCACCTGCCCCAGTAAGCCCTCCTCAACCACACCTCAGTCCCAGAACTCCTGACCTGTGGCACAGAAGTCACATCAGCAGCCCCAGAAGCTTCTCAGATCCGACCTCCAGCTCCACGTCTTGTGTCCTCTGAGCCACGTGACCGTGCCTGAGCAATGGGGAACCTGAATTTTCAGGTAAATACTTAATGAAGTTTCCGACCTGATAGTATGTCTCTTCGGACTCTATCCTCTCCTCACCTGTGGCTGTTTAGAACCAGGGCACCTCCTTTCTTGGAACTCTGGTAGGAAGAAGATCAATTATCAGACACTGTCAACTCTCCTAAAGATAGTATCTTCCCTCTAGCTGGTGCCCAAACTTCCACTCTGAGAATTCCCCCATATTTCAGCTCAATGTGCTAACTATTCTCTATTAAAAATGCAAATGCCTCTTAGGGAAATGTGACTGGTCATTTATAGTGTGCTAGCCACTTCAGATCCTGTTTTGAGAGCAGGCTTTGATAGAGAAAGAGATAGAGTCGTATAGGCCTGAAAGTAAGGAGGTATTTGATATGATGCCCAGGACAGTGGGGGAGGGAGAGAAGGAGCAGAGATGGTCAGCAAAGATGCTGCTTTAGGAGAGCCTAGGCTGGGCTCACCCCTGTGCTTCCCTGCACCGGCCTGACTCCTCATCTCAGGGCAATAAGGGACTCCCCACGTCACCCAAAGCCTGCCCCAGAGATCCGACTTCTGTAGCAGGACTCTACCTCTGTGATAAGAATGCAATGCCGTCCTTAGTGCTCCTCATCGTCCACACAAGCTGACTCTATTTGGCTGCTTCTCATCACTTGGAACACAGAAAAAAAACTGACTACATCAAAAATTCATGAGCTGCATTGTCTTCCCTGGAAACCTCTGGAATTGCTGGTAGGGTTCATATCAGACAGTCAGAATTTGACTTGAAAAATTTCCCACTCAGTGTTTCTTTATTTTAAGCTGTTCTCTGAATTTTCCACAGATTGGATCTTTCCTCTGTCTGGAATTTTTCCCCTGAGAATTTCTTTTTTTTTGAGATAGAGTCTCAAGCTGTCACCCTGGTAGAGTGCCATGGTGTCATAGCTCACAGCAAACTCCAACTCAAGCGATCCTCTTGCCTCAGTCTTTCTGTTTTTAGTAGAGACGGGGGTCTTGCTTTTGCTCAGGCTGGTCTCGAACTCATGAGACCAAGCTACCCTCCCACCTTGGCCTCCCAAAGTGCTAGGATTACTGGCATGAGCCACCGCACCTGGCCTCCCCTGAGAATTTCTAATTGGTCACTCCTTTACTATGCATAGCACTTTAGCAGTTACCATTTGTTACTTAAGTTTTCAATACCTATTACAACGTAACTTCTGGAGAAGATATCCCATCATTCAATAAAAAAAAAAAAAATCCTCAGTGATGGTGATGATGATGATGATGATGAGATAATGCTGCGGTTGCGACAATAATGAGACCAGCTCACTTTTTATTTATTTACACAGAGTCTCACTCTGTTGCCCAGGCTAGACTTCCCTGGTGTCAGCCTAGCTCACAGCAACCTCAAGTTCCTGGGCTCAAGTGATCCTCCTACCTCAGCCTCCTGAGTAGCTGGAACTAACTACAAGTGCCCTCTACAATGTCCATTTTTTCTACTTTAGTGGAAACAGGGACCAGCTCACTTTGAGTGAGTGCCTCAGTGTATGGCAGGAACTATGCCAAATGCTTCACAGATATTACTTCGTTTAATCCTCACAAGGCCTTTGGAGGAAAGATCATTATCCTCTTTTTATGTTTGAGGAGGCTGATATGACAGAACTGAGATTTGAATGGAAGTCTATCTCACTACAAATCTGTTCTCTTGTCAGGAATTCAAGGTACTGCTCATGGCAGGCCATCATTGGTCTTTGCAAACTCCATCTCTAGTTTCTTAATTCTTTTTTACCCTCCTTCATTCATGCTACTGCTCTCCTCCACACAAACACCCACCTCACAGTGTTTGCTTTGTGTTCCTATATATGCATAGATTTATACTTGAGAAATAGTTATTATTATGGTTTACATAAATGACATGGTTCTAGATACTATTTTCTCCTTTGCCCTTTAAAATCAATCCCATGTGTTTAAGATTTTCATGTTGCTCTCCATGCATCTTGCGTCCTGCTCCTGACTGCCCCAGGATTCCACGGTATGCATCCATCCCATCATACTGATCAGTTTCCTGAACATACTGGGTGCTGCCCACCTTTGGCTCCCACAATAGCTCCACAATGAACTTCTTTGTACATGTTGTGAGATTTGGATAAAATTTATTTTACTTACTTATTCTGAGACAGAATCAAAATCAAAATGAGAATCCCTGTGTCACCCTGGATAGAGTGTCCTGGTGTCACAGTTAACAGCAACCTCAAACTGTTGGGTTCAAGCAATCCTCTTGCCTTAGGCTCTCGAGTAGCTGGGACTACAGGTACCCACTACCACCTCCAGCTAATTTTTCTATTTTTAGTAGAGATGGAGTTTAGCTCTTGCTCAGCCTGGTCTCCAACTCCTGAGCTCAGGCAGTGCACCTGCCTCAGCCTCCCAGAGTGCTGGGATTACAGGCATGAGCCACCATGCCTGGCTGTCTGAATGAATTAATACACGCAGGGCCTTTGTTCAGGGCTTGGTGCATAGGAGGCTTCATTTAAGTCACTGCCAGGGGGATGCCATGCTTCACTGAAAAGCTGCTACACTGTTTCTATGGGACATGTCTCTGGCATTGGGATTGCAGTGTTATGGCCCGGAGCTACATGAATACTCATTCCAAAACTCAGATCTAATTAATTAGCCAGTCCTGACAATTCTATCATCTACTTATATCTTTCATTCAGTTATTTCTCCACCTAGTGGTTAGAGAGCTATTTTAAAAGTCTTAATTATATTGTATTGCTTCCCCTCAAAATCTCCTAAATGTGCACTCAGAATAAATTCCAAACACCTTTCACAGTCTTCAGGGCCCTACACATCGGGCCTTTACCTGGCCCTTGACCGCATTCCCTATGACTTTCTCCCTCTCACACTCTGATCTAGCTACACTGTGTCAATAACAGTTCCTAGAACATTCCATGCTCAGTCTTGCTCCAACCTCTCACTTCCTGTTCTCTCTTCCTGAAAGACTCTGATTCTCCTTCAGGTCTTCACAGGTTTCACTTCCTCACTCCACTCAAACGTTAGCTCCTCAGAAAGACAAGTCACTAACCGCATTACCTCAAGTAGTGTCTCCTTACTCCTATCCTCTGGCCCTGTATTTTGCTTTATTTCCCATCATAACATTTGTCACTATCTGACGTGGCGTCTATTTGTTTGTGGTAGACTTCCCCTCACTAGAATGTAAGCTCCGTAAAGGCAGGAATTTTTTCCTGTTCACTGCTGTATAACCCAAAACAGTGACAGCACATAGCACACAGTAATTAGGGATTTGTGGCACAAAGAAAGCAAGAGAATGAGTAAGATTACTCTCAAAAAGGGCTGCACGTTTTTTGTTGTTTTGGTGGGTTTTTTTTTTTTTTTTGAGACAGAGTCTCAAGCTGTCGCCCTGGGTTGTAGAGTGCCATGGCATCACAGCTCATAGCAACCTCAAACTCTTGGGCTTAAGTGATCCTCTTGCCTCAGCCTCCCCAGTAGCTGGAACTACAGGCACCCACCATAACACTTGGCTATTTTCTGGTTGTAGTTGTCATTGTTATTTGGCATGCCTGGGCTGGATTCGAATCCACCAGCTCTGCTGTGTGTGGCTGGAGCCCTAGCCACTGGAGCTACAGGTGCCGAGCCGGGCTGCATGTTTTTATATTCCCATTAGTAGTTCCCTCTTGTCAGTATTCTTTTTTTCATTTTCTTTCTTTCTTTCTTT